ATGAAGCTCTTTGCCTCTTCTGGACACCTGACCGCGATCCTACGCTGAACCAACGGGTAGGGCCGAATTTTAGACCTGTTGCGGCCGTTCTTTTCGGTCAAAACCTCGCGACCAAGTCAGCTAGCTAAGCGGCGTTTAACGGGGCCGATGCGACGCTGTATGAACAGACTCCGCCTGGAAATCAGATGACGTTTGTGCTGAAGAAGTATAGCCCAAAAAGCTTCTTGGGACCTCCTTGGACCTTGGTCGACGGCAGCCAACCAAGCGACAAACCTGGGGAATCTAGAATCGGGCCGCTCTAGGGTAGTAAGTGTCCAGCAACTGCAACTAGCGTGCATATAAGCAGGTACGGGGTGGACAGATTCGGTAAACAACCCCTGAATATATCCGGGTTACTTTGGAGAATAATACTGTCGGACTATGAGGCTGGATTTGACTTTAGTATATTAACAAGGAGGCCTAATGAGACCCAACCCCATATGCATTCATGGATAGGATATGACCCCAGTGCGGGGGAGCCCTCGCCTCATCGTCCCCGCATTATCAGGGGTTGGAGCAAGTTGAAGCTCCGAAGGTTCCATACTTTCTCACGATGTTTTCTTTTTTCTTTTTCCTATTTCCACCTATCCCACACATCGTACCTATTCCGAGATAGTTACTCGGGTATTCATATTCATTCTTTTGTGTTTGTTCTAGAATTAGTGAAAAGGATATCCATCACATCGAGGCCTCGGACTTTGGTAGTTGCCGATCCTTTACTGTGGAGACACGTAAGTGTGGATTCTGGAAATCCGAGAGGGCTCACAACCCCCACGTGCACGCATTATGAGATACCAAGTTCTGGATAGGTCCACCAGATGCCGACAATACTCGTAGAACACATTCGGACCTACTCTACTCCAGATCAAGACTGCAGCAAATGCCTCTGACGCCATTCGATTTACTAACCAGCGGTCCTCGTTAGCCTTCTGTCACATGCTTATAGCCCTGCTCAAACCGGGGGAACTGGGGATGGGACCATATTCTTGTTCATTTCCATACGGATCGTGACATTCCAGCATCGGTCCGCCAATGGACACGGCGTATATCAGCCTCATCGACTAGCCCTACCTATTACATAGTTATAATCCCATGTAAAGCCAAGAAATAACAGGTTATTTCAAGCCCATTATCTTGGGACAAGATCTCGGAGCCTGGTGAAAGGCCTCGATCGTGCTTCTAGAGTCAACGCTACCCCAGAGCCTCGGCCAGCTCTTTCGTATCCACTACACTATCCAGACTAATATGAATATCGCAAGTCAAAAATTTTGACAAAAGATGGGGGCGTTTTAGCTCGTCCTAGTTCTGCTTGTGGCGTCGCCAACATCTTCAAGAAAGGATCGTGACTTATTTCGCGACTAGTCTGTCCGCAATCAGGCCGACGTACAGCGTGCTAAATCTTCCTTCGTCAAAGAACTTGCGTTATCTTGTAATTATAATGCCATGTCATGGCGCAATATGAAGGGTGCGAACGCATGTAAAAGACGTCCGAAATAAAACCGCTTATTCCACGAACATGAGATTTAATACGACACTAAATAGACAGACTCGGCGGCTCGTGATTACCGAGACTCTTGTCGATATTAACGCTTCAATTACGAGAGTTTCAAGGCTACATGCAGCGGACGTACACGGTACGGGAGCTACTAAATAATTAATTGGCGGGATGAATAGATGTAGGAGCGCTTATGGTTTTCCTCAACCTCATAGATCAATGATCTTGGAAAAGAGGGATGGAATATAAGACCTGGGCAAGGCTGGTCCACTGAGCTCAGCTTTTGACGGCGAACTCAAGCTTTCCAGACTGCTTCTTACTCTTGGACCTGTCGATTGGATAGACATCATGAAAAGAAGGATGATTCCATATGTGATTCGAGCTGCCTCGATCATCAACTCTGAACTCGCTGGGCGAGCAGAGGACGACCGGGCACAGATCCGTGATTGTGTAAAGAGAAAGAAGAAAAAAAATTGAAGCGATAAAATTTTATTATTTAATCTACGAAACGATCGCGTAAAAGCGGGGCAACCGTGGCTGGACACGCTAGTTTTTCGCTGACTAAAATATGTGCCACAGATACTACCAATAATCAGCCACAGGTACTGTAGTACCTAACGGTCATTGTACCTACTGCGTGAATTGGAAGTGCAACAGCCTCAGCGCTTTATTCTACTTAATCAACGCATCTTTCTTCAACTTTGTATGTGCCATCTTCGCGAAACCGGCAAATTGTAGATATCGGATACGATCGCGAAAATCAGATTCTTATCACGAAGAAATATTTCCTCATCACAATCGTCGAAAAACTACCTTCCTTCAAGTGTTGGAGTCGCGATTAACAACTATGGATCCAGCGCAGATAGAGGAGACAAACCGTCTCCGTGTCTCCTTGGGCATGAAACCTTTGCCTGTCCCCGGCACAAGCGGACCTCAGTTCAAAGAAAAGACATCTACGCCGGAGGAAGATGTTGGAAGCACCCTCGAAACACGAGAAGCGGCCGCCTACGATAACTACAAAAAGATTCAAGATGCCGAACAAGCCAAGAAGAAACGCGAGGCGAAGGCTGCCGCCATCAAAAGGGCCCGCGACGCTGCGAAACGTAATGAGATTCTAGAAGGGAAGGGGTTAGGAGATGCCGACGAGGGCGAGCTTGATACCAAGGCGTGGTTAATCAGTCAGAAGAAACGTCAAAAGCAAATTGACAAAGCGCGGAAATTGGAGGAAGAATTAGCTGCCGCCGAAGCCGAGGCTGCCGCGGCAATTCAATACACTTCAAAAGATCTTGCAGGCGTCAAAGTCGGGCACGAGATCGGAGCTTTTGAAGATGGAGAGGAACAAATCTTGACTCTCAAGGACTCGAATATTTTGGGCAACGATGACGAAGAAGGCGATGAGCTCGAGAATATCAACCTCAGAGAACGAGAGAAGCTTGACAAGAAACTCGAGTCGAAAAAGAAGAAGCCCGTATACGATCCCAACGCAATCGACGAAACAGGAGAGCAGAGCTTGCTCGCGCAATACGATGAAGAAATCGTTGGCAAGAAGAGCAAAAGATTCACACTGGACGGCTTTGGGAATACCGTACAGCAGAATAACATTGGTAGCCTAGAAGAACAGAGTCGACAACGGCAGAAGATTAACCTTGATTTCTTAAAGGATGATCAGCAGCCAGCTTCGGACTACATGGATATTTCGGAAGTCAAAATCAAGAAACCCAAAAAGAAGAAGTCGAAGTCAACAAGACAACGACCAGTGGACGAAGACGACATCTTCCCTCTACCAGATGCGAATCAGGATCAGTCCATGGATATTGATTCTGGGGCCGGATTTATTAGCAGAAAGCGCAAGACCGACGATGCAGAGTTAGTCGACGACGAAGATCTTCAGGCTACGTTAGCTGTACAAAGGAGAGAAGCTCTGAAGAAGCGGAAGAGAACACGTCCAGAAGACATAGCCAAACAATTACGAGAAGAGGCGCAGACACCTAATGATAACGACACAGAGGATGTCCAAGAGGGCGGTCTTGTCCTCGATGAGATCACGGAGTTCGTTTCGGGTCTCAAGAAGGAAGACATCGAAGATCGCAAACCCCGCAGAGCGAAGTCGCCTAAAGAGGCTCAAGTCACAGCTATGGAGGATGAGTCCGACGAGGACGAACCTATGAAAGACGGATACGACGACGAACATGGTAGAGCCAATCGTGAAGAATCGGCCCCGGCAGAGACAGCTGTCATTGGTGTTGATGAAGAAAAAACAATCGGATCTGGTGTTGGTGCGGCGTTGCAGCTATTGAGAGAGCGTCGGCTTCTTAACGACTCTGGCGCTGCCCAACTCAACGAGACGCAGCGTCAACACCAACTGTTCCTTGCAGAGAAGAAACGTAAGCTGGCAGAGATCGAACAGCAGGCCCGCGACCAGCGCGAAAGGGATCGCAACAGTGGAAGACTTGACAGGATGTCTGTCCGAGAAAGAGAGGAATGGGCACGCCAACAAAACAACATGCGCGACCAACAGACATCGCGACAACTAGTCGATCTATTCAACAAGGGGTACAAGCCCATTGTGGAGCTCAAGTACCACGACGAACTCGGTCGCTCGCTAGACCAGAAAGAAGCATTCAAACATCTCAGCCACCAGTTCCACGGCAAGGGAAGCGGAAAGGGCAAGACCGACAAACGGTTAAAGAAGATCGAGGACGAGAAGCGGCGCGAAGCGCAGAGTATACTAGATGCCAGCCAGAACGTCGGTATGAGCTCGGCGACCGCGCAACAGACGAAGAAGCGAAAGGAGGCCGGTGTGCGACTTGCATGATCTCAATCTGCAGCAGACGGAATGCATTGAAAAGGTGCTTCCCCCTTATTTATACACGTTGACTAGCTAGTAATTTGATGCTGACACTGGTCTTCAAGTCTTCATTTTTCGTGATGTGCTAGTGCTAGGGGATCAACCCCCGGAAGTCCGTGTTCAAGTGACTCGACGTCTTTGCTGTGGGATATGAAGCCATATCCATTCCTTCTGTCCTCGCCGTTCTAATACTGACTATGCATTCTAGCATTGCGATTAAGCAGTAATATATACTATAGGTAATAGGCATACCCGCTCCAGCAGACTCGTAGTCAAGTAGGTTACCCTACGCATTTACATATGTCGTACAGCAGTACATGATAGACCCTGTAACACCTTACTTCCATTTTGATCTTGCAGGTGCAACCTTCTTGCGCATAGTAGTTGGTTGTCGCATTATTAAATTCAAATGTTGAATATCCACAGCAATAAATTGCATTTAAGATATTGTGTCATGTCAGGACGGTGGTTTTAAGCTGCCAAATTAGATTGAGACATCGCGACCCAAGTTCCTGCCATGCCCGCCCAAACCAAAAACTTTTTTTTACACTGAAACATTTCAATCTAAAAAAACATCTACTGAATTAACTAGAGCACAAAAGCTCAAAAAGCAAATGATCCCTCGGGCCGGAATCGAACCAGCGACATTTCGGTATACAATTAATGACTCAATTACAGCCGAACGCCATAACCAACTAGACCACCAAGGGGTGTGGCGTGGTTTTGCCTTTCTCTTCAGAGGAAGTGGACTTCCCGCGAGGAACAGTTGATGGCCGGGCCGGATATTGGGGTCTATATTCTTAGTACAAGCCGGCATTTTACCGCTGAAGAGTCTTAGTAATAAGACTATAGTAGTGACGTAATGAGGCGCTAGTAATACTTAGTCACAACTAATACCACAACTAATAGTACCACATTCAACACATTCAACTCTCATTCACAGCAATCACTCACTTTAATTTTCAAACTCATCGAAATAGTGAAGACAACTCGTTCCTGATTTAATAATACAAGGCATAGCCCTGCTATGCGAACTATATACTTACGCAGCCTATGTACATTACTCACCTCCGGTAGGTAATTGAATCCTCCTGTACGCCGACAAGTGAAAGACCGGGAAATGACGCAGTCATCTCCAACTTACCTCGACTCACCTTCCAGCCCTGGTTAATTATTACACACGCAACGAAAATGCTCAAGTAGTTGGGTAAATACTTAGTACCTATGTACGTACACAGTCATAGCGGGGGGGATCTACCGAGCGAACCGCGCGGACAGGTCCGGCGTGAGTTGCGGGTCCTCGGCCTCCTTGGCGGCGATCTCGGCGCGCATGACGTCGAGCTGCGCGGCTAGGTCCGCCATCTCTTCGGCGTTGAAGCTGGAGCGCAGAGGAGATGGGCAGCTCGGCGTCGTGGTGCGGCTGCGCGAGCGCTCGTTGTTCTTGTCGGAGGTGCGGCGCGCGGTCGCGGCGACTGAGACCGGGGTGCAAGGGTTCGCGCGCCGGTCGAAGAGGATGTCGTCTGAGTCGGTGCCCGAGAGGTCGGCGGGTAGCTTGAGGTACTTCTTCGACTTGACAGGGGCACCGGGGCAGATGCTGTCGAGGGGGAGCGGCGACGGATGGTGAGGTGTGGAGGGGGGAGGAGGAGGGGGAGGGGTGATGCGGGTTAGGGGAAGGGGGACGCAGTTAAGGTCAAGCGGGCTGGGCGCGCGCGCGTTCGAGTACACTGGGTTCAATGTCACGTCCTTGGCATCGCTGGGAGAGGGGCGGGTCTTGCCGCGCTTCTCCTGGCTATCGCTGATCGCCTTGCGCATGGCGCGAAGACGGTCGCGGAGCGGGAACCGGTACTCGCCTGTGAAGATCGTCTTCCGTGCTTCGGGCTCTGTGGCTGCTTCAGCGGTCTCGGTGGGGGAGGAGCGCACGGTGTGGTCTTCGGTTTGAGCCAGGTTATCGAAGTGCTGGCTTAGGTCGCGGACGCGGCCGGAGCTTTGCTGGTTGGAGGACATGGTTGACGAGTATGGTAAAGACCTGCTTGAGATATGGCTTGACGATATCTGCGATACTATGACTGTGGGTGGTGTCCGGAGGGAAATCTTACCGGACGAGATTCAGGGGATCGGTGCGAGTTGCTTGGTGGGGGAAATCCTGAAAACAAGTTCTTCATCGCTGAATATATATAAAAAAATATACATAAGCTGTTATCAAGTCTAATTATATCATAAAGAAAGTCCTCGTGCCCTAGCTCTTGTATCATCACAAAGCATTGTCCCAGTCGCATTGTTAAAACACGACAAACTCTGTTCGCCAAAAAACAAAGGGCAGAATTTCAATGCTCGAATACAAGGATTTGCCCAATTGCGTACCTGTTGAAGAGGTCATTCTCGTGCTGCTAATGCTGAACACAATGAGTTGTCCAAAGAGAGGTCATATCCTAGAGCTGCATATGTGCCACATAGGCCTGCCCTGATACAAGGAGCTGTCAGGAGCATCTGCTAGCATATAAGCTGCATATGAGCTGCAGCCAGGCTGCATAGAGCTGCTCGAACCTCCAATCACGTCATTTCATTCTCAAAGTACCTTCACAGAGCTGCATAGGCTGTGCAGTGTGCATATGTACGCATCTCCCTTCCCCCAAAACCAAAGGATGCATCTTGCGCATGCGGTTTCTGACAAGGGCCTACCAAGGCTTTGAAAGCCAATCAAGAAACAGTTTAACTAGTACTATCTGCTGTCAGCACAATGGACATACTGCAGCCCATATAAAAAGGTATCTGTGCAGCATATTCGTGCTGCAGCATACCTAGCGCAGCAATTTCATTATCATCCATATACTCAGCCTCTAAATCACCCTCCCAAACATGACCGAAATGACGCCAATAGATTCTGAAGCAGGACTCTTAAATCATGATTTCCTCTATAAAAGACATCTTTCTACTCATCTCTTTTACACAAATCAGTTCTCGACAAGAAAAAGACAGGACATTCAGATTCCAACCGAAACAAACGGCGAGCCATTTTATCATGCATCTATCTGGAATCAACCCAACAAGACCCATCACCTGCGTCTTGTTGATCCAGGTTTGCGGTGTCTTGTCCTGGCCAATGTTTAATACGACATACTACCCCACACTAGCAAGCTCGAGTCAGTATAAAACATTCTTTTCGCATCTCGACCTGGGTTTCATCAAGTTCCCAAGAGATCCTATAACATTACAGTTCTGTCATGATCTTCTAAAGGTCTAGTGAGCCTGGGAATATCATACCAAGTGGTTTACGCTTCCGTAACATGTGATATTGACTCCTATGTATGTATAGTCGAACCACGCAATGTCACTCAAGATGGCAATATCAATGAGGGATCACAAGACACGAATTCTCTCACATGGGTTGAGACCATCGCTACCGCTTTAGGTCTTGGTCTTGCTGTCATCACAACTATCATCGCGATTATTGAATGCAGAAAACGATCAAAGAATCGTACATCCTCACATGAACGACGAATCACCGGTGAACCTCGAAACCCGGTCAATGATGAACCTGGCAGAGAAGCCGTTGATGCCCTCGCTCTACAGAGTGAAGATATGATTAGCTCTAATGGAACTCCTCTTCTGATCATCCCCCCACCTGCCGCTCTATTTACGTCTCGAGCCACAATTCAAGCAATTCCACCCAAACCCATGCCGGCGGAAAGGCCTTCTCGTGGCCAGGGCCACGCAACTCCACCGTACGGTCGATTCACAGTCAGCATGGATGGGGATCACGCTCCCTTACCCGTGAAAGCCGCGACACTCGCACACTATGGGGGTTGTGTAAGCCTTGAAGCTCGACCTATGAGCTAGAGAAGCTTGTTTTCGATGCTTCAAATTCAGGGGTTCAAGGAGTGTACTTTCTGTAAGAGCTAACTTCTGTTTCAAGTAGAGGAATATTATGAATATACACTGACTCACCATAGGTTGGCGAAGTATCATCAAGGCATTGTCAAGGTGTTTCTGGTATTTGGTTACTTACATAGAGTGCATGGTAAGGGGATGTGATAAAAAAGGACCTTGGAAGATACGTATAACGAGTTTTATATAAAGATTTATAGATGATCTCTACATAGAAGAGATCGGGGTCTGGTTGGTCATGAAAGTAGGAGTATTGGATTTCAGGAGGACTCACGCACATTTCAAGATCCCCAAGTCACGGTAAATTTTTACCATTGTTAATACCTACTTCATCATACTTTACCTCTAAGTTAGGACCTCTCATGTATTTAAAGCTAGATATTGTTCTTTTGTCTTTCGATACTATTATTTACCTACTCATCATCAAGTTCTACCTTGAGGCTTGGGTATCCACCCCTGTTTCTTCGGTATTATTTAACAAAGTTGAGCTTGACGGTACCTTGCGGAAACAATTATCTGCCACTTCTAAGATACACACGATACAGCAAGAATGGAGCCACAGCACATCTTCCACCGCTTGCCCGTCGAACTCGTCGTCAAGATATACAAGTCCATGGACGACGCCGGAGATGTCAAGGCCACTCTCAGCACCTGCCGAAGGGCGAAAGCAATCTTCGACGACAACGCTGGGGTCATCGCGAAAAGCCATCTTCTCCGCAGACTCCATCCTTCCAACATCAAGCTGATGGTGATGGCCGTAGCCTCTCGCGACGTCGATCCCCAGGATGAGGAATCGATCGAGCGATTCTACCGCCCCCCGGGGAGGAATTCTCAGACCCTTAGACAAACCCCCCATGTCGAGTGGGTGGATAAGTACTGGGACGTCTTCTCCCACGTCGAGCTTGAGGCCGTATTGTGGACAAGGCTTCCCTTTAATCTGTGCTTCTCGGATGGTGCGTGTATTCCTACATCCAATGTGATTTATTTCGTGAAATACTAATAAGAGCCACAGGTATGAATTCTGGTGACTGCCGCATATACCAACACGGACTTAGGCCGAATGGTTATCTTGGGTACGCAATTGGTCTAGAGAGTCTGCACAACATAGACCAATTCCGTCGAGTTCATTACAAGGAAGACAGAATATGCAACCTCTGTTTGTCTCATCGCGACAACTGGTTCTGCGAGTGGCAGGGTAGACAATTCGAAAGCCCGCTCCATGACGCTCGGCGATGCCTTATGAAAAAGACCGACCTACAGCCTCGTTTCCAGCCGGACCCCGACGGGGTTGACGAAGAGACTTGGCAAAAGTTGTTGGATCATAAACTAGCAGATTATTTCCGCAGCCGACGGTTCGGCCAACCTCCATGGATGGCTTGCTGGGATTCCGCTACCCTCACGAGATGGGGCGAGCAACTGAATCTGGATTTGTAAAATGCTTTGAGCAAAGCCTTCGCATAGCAATAGTATACGCATGGCGATGAAGGTAGAGAAACTTGCAGAGATTTCACCCCTGTCATAAAATAGTAAGAAATGAATAAACACATTGAGAGAAAATCTTTGTGAAAAAGAAAATTGAGATAAACGAGCCAAAAATTGAAAATAGATGAAAAATATATACTCCGGTACGGGGAATCGAACCCCGAGCTCCTCGGTGAAAACGAGGTATGTTAGCCGTTACACTATACCGGACGTCAGAAACCATCTCAATTTGTTGGGAGATACTGATGTGATGATTTCGGCGCTCTTATTATTGGTTATAACTGGCTAGCTGTAAAGCCACCGGCATTGGCTGGTGATGTTTGTACTATTTTAGCTCATGGGC